CCAAGTATTGGATCTCCACTACACCCGACCGACCGACCGACTCAACTCCACCATCCTCACTCCCTAGGAACCAAGTATTGGATCTCCACTCTACCCGACCGACCGACTCAACTCCACCATCCTCACTCCCCAAGAACCAAATATTGGATCTCCACTCTATCCAGCCGACCGACAGACTGAACTCCACCATCCTTACTCCCTAGGAACCAAGTATTGGATCACCACTCTCCCTATGCCACCGACCGACCGACCCAGTCTTTTAAAACGTAGACTATCACTACTCACCCCACCCCACGCCACCGATCAATACACAGACTTAACCTGTCTAAAGATTCAATCGCCTTTCCTACCTGATCGAGCCAGCACATTGCAATAGGTCGGCTCCTGCAACGAAGCCGACACTCCCATGCTTCACGTCCGTAGATTCTCCCAATCGGGGCGATTGGCTAGGAGCAGTCTAGCACTTGTTCACCCTCGAGGCGATCAAGCCAAGGGACCTCGCCCATTCGGTCTTCCATAGTGGACGAGTGGGCAACTATGGGTCAAATGTTTGCGCATTTTGTTTGGACCTTTGGCATCTAGTAAAGAGCGCCGTGGAATCACAAGCGTAAGTCTTACCGTCCAACAAGCTGGCCGAGCCGATTCCATCCCACTCGATCACCCGAGTACCCCAACTGAACAAACCTTTAATTTAACATCGTCTCCAACTCATTCGACGCGGCATGCTGAGCAGATACCCCTGTCATGGGATTTTAGTTCACTTCTCCAGTTGGCAGGACACACCGAACGAGCACGTGAGCCCTAGAAGTCTTGTTATCTCAGTCCCTTCGACCCTTCACACCGATCGGGCACACCCTCTTGGGGTGATTGCACATTCTAGATCAGCTTTGATACTGAGCGACCCTTGACTACGAATCACCTACATCAAACTGGTCAACTACGCCGACAATCGGTCGTCTAGGAAGGGAGACCAAGCACGCCTCGATCGCTTCCTACTCTTTGACTTAAGAAAAACTTAACTTAGAGAGTAGGGGGTAAAATTGTTAGGGCCAAAAATCGTCCTTGGTCCAAATAGGAGAACGGGATTGAATGAGGAAGAGACCAGACCCAATCCCAATGCGGCCCCATCCGGATTAGGCCTATTTGATACGAGATATAGTCGACCCAAACCATCGGGTCCGGGCCTGCAAATCCCAGTTCACTTCCTGGACTTATGAGCAAGTCCAGAGCCCACGACACCTACAGATCACTTTCCTATTCCAGATCAGTCTCCTATTCGAGGTCACTTTCTTGTTCAGGTCACTTTCCTACTCGGGGTTACTTTCTTGTTCGGGATCACATTCCTATTCGAACACTGGTAAGACAGCTCACTACCGCCCTAATTTTCTAGGATTTGTATCAGAGTCCACTAGGAATCCTACTCCCACCAGGACCGGGAGACCAAACAGTCACTATATAAGCAGAGGTTAGTCCTCTCACAAGGGAGATTACATTACATTACACCTTCACACTCGAAGCTCTGACTTGAGAGCCTCACATCACTGCCATAGTCACAGTCCCCGACTAGACTTCCGGTAACGTCTCTACTCCCTAGCCCTCACTATATTAGCATTTTTTCAGCCTTGTTGACTTGAGTGTCGGAGTGCCTACGGCAAACACCACCCTGGTGTTTTCCGTTCGCTTCACGTTTGTTTCTCTACGTGTGCAGGTGCAGCAGATCGCTAGTGGCCTCAACCTCACGGGATCAGACCCCCTTTTCGTACAGGTAGATTTTTATGTCTACAGTAATTAGTTTGTAGTTTTTATGATGGACTGACCGAGAGGCATAGGAATATGGTAGATGTCTCTTGTAGAGGAACATTTATGCACAAGGACAAGAATGAGTTATGACAATTCTTCGAGACTTTAAGTACAAATTTAATACATCACATTTCGCTTCTAGAATGTCTATTTCAGGATAGAGTGTTTAAACAGGAACTCTTGAGATATTATCTAAAAATTTTTGAGTTTGATTCACTTTGTTTATTAATAAGAGATGAATACTAGAGGTTTATTCGACTGTTAACTTTAAAGTTGTAAAAATTATACAAAATATGTGAAACCTGAACACGTCGGTTTAAAAAAAAAAAAAAAAAAAAAAGGCACATGGCAAAATATGACCGACAGTGTTTTATTTTAAGAATTCGGCTCTGCTTTTAGTTTTAGAGCGTCAAATCTAGTTGATACATGACATTGTTTATTTTTCTTAACAATTTGATTAAAACGAAAATAATATGATACAGTACAGACTGGGACTTTGGGAGTGGGAGGTTCTAGTTGTACTGATAGTCTTAAGAGTCAAAAGATGTGAAATGACATATAAAACACTCTCATTAGCGTATCAATTATGTCTTTTTCTTCATCATTTATCATTCACCACAACCACAAACTCTTCTTATGCCTCAACAGCACAAGATATTTCAGAAAAATACATTCAATTAAGGATATGAGTATAATCAACTTTATTTCTTTTTTGTTATACTGATAGCCTTGACTTTTTTAATTAAACATTCATAAATTAGAAAAGTATCAATCTTATTTTTTATGGCAATATTTAAATAGATATGTAACCCATTTTTATAGTCAAAATTGATTTTCTTGCTTCTACTTCTACTTCTACTTCTACGTATAGTAATACTATTATAACTCACTACACAAGCAAACCAATGGTCAAAGCTGGAGGGCTCCACACTTGATTTCCTCTAAATTTTATCATGTGCCATGTGGTACTGGAAAATCCACGTGTTGCTTTCTCAATATTCTATTATTCTTTTAACTATTCTCCTCACGCGTTATGCCAAATGCTTCGTGTCAATGAACTCTTGTTAATACATATAAATATATAATTAAAATTAAAAATAAAGATAGGTTGGTAAACACTTTTCACAATTTTTTCTTATAAATATTGACATGATAACTTATAATTGGTTAGTTCGTATTTGGTTAAGTGAGACCCATTATTGGATAGACAAAACTCATTGCGAACTGATCAATTACGAGTTGACACATCGCGTTTGTGAGAGAAAGTTAATGAAAAAAGTTCGCGAGTATAGTATTACTGTAAAATTAAAGATTAGTTTAATCAATTTATGAATTCTAAGCTCTTGTTTGGTATACTATTTTAGATCATTATTATGTTATCTTATTTGGATTAAAAAATATGATATGTTTTTGTTTACTTATTGGACCAATTCAATTTGAAAATTCATCCAACTCAAATAAGTTTTTTTTTTTGTCTAAAAATGAAAAGAGAGTGGAACTTGTTTTCATATTATCCAACTCTATTCAACTAAAAACAATTTTCCAACTTAATTCAATTAAAAAAAATTTTCTTTCTCTCCTTCCCTACCGTTCTCTCTTTCATTTTTCTCTCATTCCAATTTGAAAATTAATCCACCCAATACCACCACCGCCTACCAACAACCACCACCATTGTCGTCGGCAGCCACCGACAGCCGACATGGCTGAAACGGCACACAACCGATCGAATTTGGCCGGTTGTGCACGGATGTAGTTGTTTTTTACTAAATTAACGGCTAGATATATCTGACTGTTGACGATGACCATATTTTAGTCGTTAATGACGGTAAGATACATCCGTTAACAACGGTCAATATCTAGCTGTTAACAAACAACTAGAATCTAGCTGTTAATGACCAGATTTTGGCAATAGATCTAGTCGTGTCTAGCAAGATCTATAGTGGATTTGGTCAAAAACAACCATATTGACGCATAACCGGTCAGATCTAGTTGATTGTGCGTTATTTTAGAGACTACTAGCTGTTGTCCGACGGCCGGCTATCCTCTTAGGAGGCTAGGGTGTTTTAGTTAATTTTTAAACTTTTATTGTGGAGGTGTTTAACTAAATTAACAAATGTAGGAAATTAAAAAAATAATATAATTATTTTCAGAAAATGTATCAAACAACTATTTTGTCTTAAAAACATTTTTTTAAAAGAATACACCAAATAACTATTTAACATTTTATTAAACTCTGATATACTCTTCAGATATTTTACAAAACACTTTTTCAGAATCTGATTTAATTCGATTTAATTTAATTCAACTCAACTTAAAACACTATTTCATTTTTCAAATAGTTTATCAATCATGCCCTAATTGTTTAGGTAGATAACGATAGTGGTATGATAGCACATAAAATAAATAAATAAAATTTTATTATTATTTCATACCTAATTTTATGTATCAATTATTATCCTAATTTAGGATCAGATAAGTGATTAAACTTTTGATAATATGGAAAAGTGTTAGTTATAGATGTTTTTCGTTGATTACTCAAATTCCATTATCGATTTCGAAATCTGACGTCGTCAATTGTTTATCAATATTAAAAATACTATAGCATGCTAAAATCAAGAGATAAAGGTTAATGTTTAGGATCTAATTAGTTGACATTAATCTACATTTAGCAGTCAAATTAAGTATAAAATAATGTAATGTAAAATAGTCAAATCAGATGAAATACATGCGGAAATTCGATTATAACAAAATTAACTCAAGAATGAAAATTTCAAACATCCTAATCTACTTGCCTTGCAAGCCATGGACCCAGTCCCATGAAATCCTTTCCTTTCCCAACATTAATTAAATAAAAGTGGGTAATTATCTATCATAATCAAACATTAAGATGGGGAGCAAGAGCCATCGCTGTAATTAATCTCATGCCTTCATTTTTGGTTTGCTTTTCATTCTGTAGCTACTTGTACCTGTTTCTGGAAAACTAAAACCCAACTGGATATTTATCTCTCTTTGTTTTGCTCGCTCTGCTTTGCTTTTCCGGGAAAGTTGATTCTTTTTTATTTTATATTTTCCTTGTTAAGAAATCGTTCCGGATTCTAACGCGAAATATAAAGGCATCAAAGTCTTTTCACCACAAAAGATGGGTTTCTGTTGAAACAAACAAACAAACAAAATTTCTTTGTACTTCCTCTCCTTTTCTCTCCGTTTTCTTTCCTTACAAAACTCGCTTAAATTCAGGGTTGATTGTTCATGTTTTGCTACGTTAGATTTTGATTTTGACTCGGAGAATTAATGTTGAATAACAATCTTTCGTTACTCTTTTTGCAAAGTGAAGTAGTCTTTGTTTGTTTCTTGAATATTGATCAAAGCAGAGTAGGCTTGAGTTTTCTTCAAGTTTAGAGAAAATAAAAATTTAAAGAACGGCCACTTGTTGCTTCCCTTTTCTTCTTTTCACTGTGAATTTGATTCTCCGGTGGCCGAACAAGTGTTGAATTAGCCAACATTCACCAGCAAAACACTAAACAGAAATTCGTAGAGAAAACAGAGTTTTATTTTTTGTTAATCTTCAATTTTCTTTTTTAGTATAAAGCGTCCGTGAATTTAGCTGTCTAAACGTCAAAAAATAGAATTTTGTCGGAGACAAAATCTGTTTTTCTCTTTCATAGAAATCAAAATCCCGATAATCTCTCTCTCCCTCTCACTCCGTTCTCATTGTTCTCTGTTTTTCGCTTTCATTTCTTTTCAAAGTTGGTGCTGGGAGCCCTTTGAATCTCTCCCTCCCTCTCTCATTCCGTTGTAACCATGTTTCTTGACAAAGGGTCAACGCAATCTAATCTGGACTGCTTCCTCCATTGCACCACACCCGTAGTCTCATCTCAATTTCTCCCCAAGGTTTGCCATTTCTTCACTCTTGTTTATTTTCTATTCATTTGGGTACTTGAATGTTTTTTTTTTTTTTTTTACGTGATTGTTGGTTTTCTTGTTCCAGACTGAGATTAGGAACCTTAACACGTTATGGCATCCATGGGAGAGGGAAAAGATTGAGTACTTCACATTAGGTGATCTGTGGAATTGTTATGATGAATGGAGTGCTTATGGGGCTGGGGTTCCTATTTCTTTGAACAACGGTGACACCTTGGTTCAGTACTATGTGCCTTATCTATCTGCAATTCAAATCTTCACCAGCAATTCATCTGTAAATGGGTTAAGGTAATCACGTTTAGCTTTTACACTTGCACTTTAAATTGCTTTATTTCTTTGTAAATTTCGTCTTGATTGACTGTGTTGTTGAATTGATGAACACCACATCTGGCTTCGACAGTTTGTGGGCCGCGTTGATTAAAGCTTTCTATTAGTACTGATATTTCTCCATAAGTTTGTAAAACTGAATTTGATTGATTGAATTAGTCAAAATTGATAAATGTGGTGATTGACGTTTTCTTAATCTAGTATGACAGCTGCAGAAATTATAGGTTCTGCAGTTAGATTAGTTTTTTTTTTAATCAAAGTGAGTCTTCTTTCAAATGGTTGTATGTTGGAGAAAGTACCGGTGGAATTAACTTTGATGGAGTTTTCCAGGGATGAGACGGACGATGGTGAGACAAGGGATTCGTTTAGTGATTCTTGTAGCGATGAGAGTGAGAGTGATAAGTTATGGAGATGGGACGGATGCTCTTCTGAGGAAGGAGGATTTGAGCAAGACAATCTTTTGCATGTGAATGATAGATTGGGTTACCTTTATTTCCAGTACTTCGAGAGATCAACTCCTTATGGAAGAGTTCCTCTCATGGATAAGGTACTTTTTATTAGTTCATAGTTTCATAGTCCTCTCATGTACATTTACTTGTAGCTTTTTACTATGTTGTTTACTTTCATTAGTATCTTTTCCTCCTTTAGTTTTTTTTCCAGTTTAAGAGATCAAAACATCTGTGGATTTGTAAGAATAATCTGAATTCCTTTTCATGATAGGCATCTGATAAAGATAAAATAAAACTTTTGACCTTTGAACATGAAACTACATACTTTTGGTGAATTATTAGTATTCTCTTCTCTCACAATCACTAAATACTTTGCATAGAATTAATTAGATTCATCTTGTCTTTTTCTAGTTTATTTTGTCTTTAAAGAGCATTTGTTCTTGCCTTTGATAATATTGTGTATTACCTTTTACTATTCTTTGCAAGAAGAATATGAGGTACGATTCAGTATGTGGAATTCTAAATTAGTGACAATATACGTTGTAGCTTTTTCATGTCTCTTTACTTCATGAAAGAATATGGATTATGGCTTATTGGTTCTTTACTTTCAGATTAACGGGTTAGCTCGCAGATACCCGGGTTTGATGTCATTGCGGAGTGTGGATCTTTCACCAGCTAGTTGGATGGCAGTAGCTTGGTACTTCTCTTTCTCTCTTGGTGTGTGTATACAGGACAAGTAATTAATAATCTAGCAAAATAAAGATAAGAAAAAAGGGCATTGTTGCCACATTTAACTTGTTGTAAAAGAATTTTGTTTTTCTGATGCAACTTTACTGCAGATAGTTAAATGCATTGGAAACATAAACACTTATAACTTGACCTATGGTTTATTGTAGAGTTGTTGACATTTTAATGTCAAAAGAAATGACATGTTTTTCATATGAACATGTCTATATCAATACAAAAAATCATGTTATTGATTTATTGTTTTCTGGAAATATTATGCAGGTACCCAATTTATCATATTCCCATGGGAAGGACCATAAAGGACTTGTCCACATGCTTCCTCACATATCACACTCTTTCATCTTCTTTCCAAGGTATTCTTCTGTCCATTTTATTTCAATTATTTTTGCTAATATGCTCTTTCATTGTTGACTTGTTATCTAGATATATATAATTTTGGAAAGTAATATATTTGTACAATATCAGCTTAGAAATTTGTGTGTGTTGGTATTTTATGTCTATTATGTAGATATGGACCCTGATGATGACATTGAGGGTGCCGAAAGGAAGCGTAAGGAAGGAGAAGGGATCTCTCTTCCTCCATTTGGTTTGGCCACTTACAAGATGCAAGGGAATGTGTGGGTCTCTGGCAATTGCGGTCGGGACCATGAAAGACTAATTTCACTTTTCAGTGTGGCAGATTCGTGGCTAAAGCAGCTGAGGGTCCAGCACCACGACTTCAATTACTTCATGGGGATTAGGCGTGGCTAAGAACCACTATTTCAAGAATTTCCATGAAAGTGACTCTCAGTAAAATCCTCTTTTTGGGACTAGGCTTTGTGCTTTGAGTGTGAGGATTGTAGTTGATTCTTCTCATTGCCATGCTTCATTTTGATGGGCATGGCTTCTTTTGAGGCTTATGCTTGTACGAGAACTCATTAGATGGGGTGTGTACATGAGCTAACCCATCTGTTTTTGCTGCTTTTTAACGCGGTTATTGGGGCTTTTATGTGAATAGATTGCTAGGTCTGAGAGACATAGGAGAAGTTCTTGAACTATAAACTTTTGTGGATTGTGTAATACATTCTCTTGATCTTTAATGAAAATCCACCGGAGACAGCAAATGCCTGCAGGTTTTGCTAAATTCATCAAGTTTTCCATTATATAAAGTCGGTGGATTAGTTCCCTTCATGATAATTAAAGGAAATGTGAAGGGGGTTATCATTTTTTATGCTTTCCATAATTCTATTAAAAAGATACTCAAATTTCCAGATGTCTAAAGCAGGAGAAACGTGGGTCCAAAGTGTTGAAGAAATTACCACTGGTTCTCTTGCACCAATAACAGCCTTACAGCACTCTGTTCTGTGATTAAAATAATTATGTTTCTTGACTTAATGTTGAAAGCAATTTTCCAAGGCCATTTAATTGCAGTTTGACAATAGCAGGAAGCCAATTGCATGTCTGTGTAAGCGCCCATAGCTTCAGTACACACACAGATTTTGTCACTTTAATTGGGTAGCAAGTTAAAGACTTAAAGATGGAATAGCTTCTGGGTTAGGCCAAGAAACATATTTGTTGAGTAGAAGTTATTACATTTATTTGACAAAACAAAATACTCTTTCATGTGGGAACTCTAAGCCTTAAAAAGGTAGGTACAGTAAGCTTGTCAAGACATGTGAACAGTTGGTGAATGGCAGACAAAAAGTGGGTTTCGTTTTCATCAAGGTACGCTGATTACCGTATTGGTTTTGGAAACACAACAAAATTAGAGTAAAATTTCATGTTTACTGCTTTGTCCCAATCCCAAACCAAATATTTTAGAATTACAGAAAGCATTTATGGGTCTGGTCCATTTCCAAAAAGGAAGTGGGGTTACTGGTGTGAACTCATTCTAAATCTTATCTTCTAATGATCCGCACTGGAGCACAACACAATTGGGTATTTGATATTTCTTTAAAATTAGATTTATTTGATGTTCAATGTCCCATCAAACAAAGCAGATATTATCAGGTGATGGCACATGCAGTTGCCAGTGTTTTTCAACTCAATCCCATTTGAACATGTTATCCATTATCAAATTAACATTAAACCCAAACAAGAGAAGAGAAACCTATCTTATCCGGACAAATTACATCATATTGATCTCAAAAGTGCAACCACTAACCAAATGTTATAAATTTATAAATCTAAACCAAAGACTTTTGGAGTGCAGTGCAACTACCAACAAA